TCAGAGGCCTGTCCTGGCAGCACTCCACAAGAAGCCAGATCTAACCAGACAGGCCCGAGATGGTGGATGCCATGACAGGAAACCCCTGACCAAATTAGGAAGAAAAAGTGTAAAACACTGCTTCCCACCCCAAGTAATAAATATTTTGCCTCTTAGTAACGGTCAATAAAAGCTAGAAACCGAAACCCCCATGGCACACATTGTTCTTGCTATCGTTCTTGCTCTCACATCTCCACAGGGTACTTTTTACTTTAATAAACTTCCTGCTCTGTTACTCATCCACTGTGCTGCATGTCTGTCCTTGAATTCCTCCTCGTGACAAGACCAAGAACCTTCAGCAACTCCTTCAGGTCTGGCTGGGTCGATGGCTCAGGAACCAGGGTCTCCCCAGTTCACCCAGCAATAGGATGGCCTTAGTCTTAAAGGAAAAGTAGGAGTATAAAACAATGACATTTAGTGTTTCCCGTTCTCCCCCAAGAAAAATCTCAAAAACCCACTTCCCCCAAGAAAAACACGACAATTTTAGAGCTGTAACTGAAGATTAAATTGAGAGTAGGTGGTGTGTGGAGACTAAATAATAAAGGATTAGATTCAACCATCTGTTTTACAGAGGCAACTCTGAGGTTGGTTTGATTAGTACCTTTCATATCAAGTTCTTGCTTCCCAATTCTGATTCTAACCAGCAATATTTTACTATTTTAAGCCTATGGGGCTCTTCACTGTTGCTACTGTAATTGCTATATTAATAGGCACCAAGAGTCGAAATGGTGAGTCTAATGGACTTTTTTATAGTAGAGTGAATATGTTATTGTGTGGTACTGAATGGAAGCATTACCTATGAATGGCACCAAGCAATCATTCTGTGGTTGGCAGCCCTGGTAATGTAACAAGCAACAATTAAGGAAATACTTTCTAAAATCCCACCATGATGAAAGTACTTAGCTATTTTTCATGCCTAACAAATTCCAGGTGTGAAGACTTTACCACTTAAGGGTAGGAAGTGGATGTTGGTAGAGGAGTGACACCATATGCTGAGAGAGAAGAATTACAAGGCTTGAATTCTCACTTCCCTAGTTAATAAGTTTAGAGGTAATTTTGTACAGTATTTACATTTCTGCCTGCAAATTCCACAGGTAAATATGTACTATATATTATGCTCTATAGCTTTTTAAGAACTCTGAAGGGTTTGAAACTTTACCCTATTTGCCTACCACAGTCCCATGAATGCTAGTAGAAGCCAGCAAACTGCTAGGTCAGAGATAAAGGTAATTTATTACTTACAGCTGTAGCAGCAATGTATCAGCATTTTTGTGTCAGTTTGCTGAGCCCCAGTTCCACAGCATGATGTGAAGGCCAAATGACATCTGCATACATATTGGGTTGCATTATAGGAAAAAAATATAGTGAGCTTAGGAAACCCAAATCTTTAATAATGGGTGGTAAGAATGTCTGCCCTTTGCTCAAAGGGAGACTGACTTTTTTTTCTTTTTTTTTTTTTAAAGATTTTATTTATTCATGAGAGAGAGAGAGAGAAGCAGAGGGAGAAGCAGGCTCCCTGCTGAGCAGGGAGCCCGATGCGGGACTCGATCCCAGGACCCTGGGATCATGACCTGAGCCGAAGGCAGACGCTTAACCATCTGAGCCACCCAGGTGCCCCTTTTTTTTCTTTTTAAAGGTTTTCATTTATTTGAGAGAAAGTGTGAGAGAGCGAGAGCATGAGTGAGGTGAGGGGCAGAAAGAGAAGCAGACTCCCCACTGAGTGGGGAGCCAGATGCAGGGCTCAATCCTGGGACTCTGGCATATGACCTGAGCCAAAGGCAGACGCTTAACCGACTGAGCCACTCAGGCACCCAAGAGACTGACTTCTAAGGCTCTAAGCAAACCTGCCCTTTGCTCTAAAGGTGCACACTATCTCTATTGTCCAAGGTTGTCTCCTACACAAAGGAACAAGGGCAGACAGTATCCCCCTTACAAGACAAGCAGAAACATGGCCAACTGTCTTCCAACATGGCAAAGCATAACTTTAATGATTTTTTTAATTAACAAGCACTCCTCTACAATATCAAAGTTACAAGTAAACCACAAGACACAATGTAATTTCATAAAGACTACACATTATTTCTTGCTGTGTAGCATTACCAAAAGCCTAGTGGTAATACACGTTTATTATCTCCGTTTTTGTAGTTAGGAATCTAGGCATGACTTAAGTAGTTCCACTGATTAGGGTCTCACAAGACTGCAATCAAGATAATGGGAGAGACTGTGATCTTATCTGAGGTTCTAATGAGGAACGGTATGCTTTTAATCTCACTCAGGTTGTTGGCAGAGTTCAGTTTCTTGAATTGTAGGATTGAAGGTTTTGGTTTCTTGCTGTGGGTTGGAGGAGGTTGCCCTCAGCTTCAAGAGGCTTGTTATGTGGGGTTCCCCAACATGGCCACTTGCTTCCTTCAAGCAAGGGAGAGAGTGAGCAACTCCAGTAAAATGGCCTGGACGGTCTACCTAAGACAATCACATAGTCACATATGTCTCATTGCATTTGACATATTCTGTTGGTTAATGTCTTCCAATATATTTATGGAGGGGGCTGGCTGTTGGCTACTGAAGATAATTAATGTGACTCAGTGAGGAGAAGTCTTTCTGAAGAAGGGAGATTTTAGCTGAGAACTCAAATGATGAAGAGTCAGCAGTGAGAAGATGGGGGACAGGGATGAGGAACATTCTGGGAAGAAGGGACAGAAAGTGGGAAATGTAGCTATGACCACAAATATTATCATACCATTATAACATTGTATTTTGTTTCTGTGTCTGTTTTCTCCATCATTCAGTAAGCTGTACAAATTATCTCAGAATCTTCAACATCTATTTTATAGTAGATAGTAAATTTGTTTTTTTTTAAAGATTTATTTATTTATTTGAGAGAGAGAATGAGATAGAGAGAGAGAACATGAGAGGGGGGAGGGTCAGAGGGAGAAGCAGACTCCCTGCTGAACAGGGAGCCTGATGCGGGACTCGATCCCGGGACTCCAGCTGGTTTGAGAGACTGCCTTCAGCTCAGGTCATGATCCTGGAGTCCCGGTAGTAAATTTGTTTAATAAATGGATGGATTTATTAATTTAGGAATCATTTTATTAAGTTTTCATTTATCAGGAACGTCAGAGATATAAAATGATCATGTGAAGGCCTGTGCCCACAATGAACTCACAGTTGTGTGTAGCAGAGTTGCAAACAACTACAATTCAAAGTGGTCCGTGCTATTGGTGCTATTACAGTGTTGGAAGAAAGAATGAAGCCTCACTCTTTTTGGGGGATTTGAGGAAAACTACATAAAGGTAGTAAAGTTAGCACTGAGTCTTCAAAGATACCTAAATTAGTTGGGGTGCATAAATAGGAAAAGGCATTTTAGGCAAAGGAATCAGCTTGAGCAAGGGCTTGGGAGTGACAAAGCATATAGCTGGTTTGCAAAACCCCCAAGAAGTTTAGGAGTAAACAAAACCAGGAGTATGTATGGAAAGATGGACAGCATGCCAGGAGGCTTATTCAATAATTGTCTATGGATCACATCAAAACAACAAAGAAGTCAGCTCTAAGGTGTGCCATTAGCCTAACAGGATCATTTGAGTATCATAACTAATAATGGATTAAGACATATCAGATTTGTAAAATGTATGCATTCCTAACGATACTAAACAAAATCATACTGGCTAACACTGGACTCATTTCTCTGCAATTTTATAATAAAGTGAAAAACCACAGCATTTATCCAGTCTTTCTTCTAGGATCCTGGTATTTCAGGATAACCAATGAGTTGGTGAAAGTTTTTTTTTTTTTTAAAGATTTTATTTATTTGAGAGAGAGTGAGCATAAGTGGGGTGAAGGGCAGAGGGAGAAGCAGACTCCTCCTTGAGCAGGGAGTCCAACGGGGAACTTGATCCCAGGACTCCAGGATCATGACCTGAGCTGAAGGCAGACCCTTAACCAACTGAGCCACCCAGGCCTCCCCAAGTTTTTTTTATAGAATCCCAGATAATAAAATCATTAACTGTTAGAAATCTGTTATGACTTAAGAGCTATACCAAAATGCAATGTGAAGATTTTTTTTTATCTTGATAGGAAAAAAAAACAACTATTAAATGACATTTTGGCTTTAACCAGGTTAATTTGAACATGCAGTATTAGATAACATGAAGGAATTATTAATTTTGTTAGATGTGATAATGGTGAAGTTAAAAAAATCCGTATCAGTTTGAGATGCACATTAAGGGTAAAATAATGTCTGGGATTAGTTTCAAAATACTCAAGCACAGAGCGGGGGAGGGGATGAAACTAGATTGGCAAAATGTGAATTGTTGATTTTTGGTGATGGGTACGTGAGGGTTATTAAAAGTGGATTCACTCTTGCCTATGTTTAAAGTTTCCTTAATAGTTTTAAAAAGTATAAGTCCCGCGGAAAGGGGATGTCCGAAATGAAAGACCCCAACTATTCTAGAAGATTCTCAGATTTCCCAGGGATTTCCGAGAGTTGTGAACTGTAATTGCCGAACCGCTGCCGGATTTGAGCAGCAGATTCCCGCTCTCCGGGAGCTGACCCAGGGTGGGCGGTTGAGGACTCACGGCAGTTTTGGGAGCATAGTGGGAAGCGAGGACATATTTCCCCAACCCGGCGGCCTCCCCTCCTCAAGCCTGCCCTTCTTTTCAATCTTTCTTCCCTCCGAGCCCCACACGCCGCTCAAGCACTTGGACGCGTCTCTTTTTCCGCTATCCTTCCTCTCCAGCGCCTAGCTCCACCCCTAACTCTTCCTGACCCTGCTTGTCCTCTCCCACGCCCGCCCCGCCCCTTCCGTTTCTAGCCCCGCCCCATGTATTCGCCCCGCCCTTCCCCTCCTGCTCCTCGCCCCGCCCCTTATCTCGGCGCAGAGGAGGAGGTTACCATAGCCACCGTGCACACAGCAGCTAGGCGTCCCTCGTTAGTCCCCGGCTGGCCGAAGGGAAGAGGCAACATCATGAGCCATGTGGTGACTATTGAGGAGCCCCAGGCCAACCCGCAGGTGTCTCAGACCCGGTGCGGGGTGAGGTCGGGGGCCTGGGGCAACGTCTCCTCCAATCGACAGTATGATTTTCTGTACGGTAAGGGTGGCACCAGACCTCCCTCCTGAGTTATTGACTCCTGGGCTAGCTGGGCTTCGGGACGGTGGGACCCGGCCAGGGGCCCGGTGAGCGTAAGATGAGCCTCAGGACGGATCCCTTGTCCGCGGTTATCCTTTGTTGGGTGGGAGCAGCTCCGAGCTCCGCAGGTGGCGGCGCTCTCCGCGCGCGTCGGAAGCCCCAGGTGCGCTCAGCGTCTGGGAGCACCGCGCGGGATCGCCTTAATTGTTCGCCACCGTCTTTTCCTGATAATTTGTACAGCCTTAAGCAATCTTCCTGAAACCTGTTCCCGGTGTTTTGCTATCCAGAAAAGTATGTAATGATTTGCGGGCTTGGAGATTCACTCAACATTCCCACGTTCAAACTGTGTTAAGTGCCCGACAAAATGACCTTCCCGCCCCCATTCTCCGGGCAACTCCAAATTTGACTTTGTAGATAAAGAAGTAGCAGTTTATCTCACCTTTGTTTCTAGTTTTTCTCTTTTTTAAAAAACTTATTGTTACTCATCAAAGCATTGCTTATAAACCAGGTCCACTGGATTCTTTTGGGTTAATAAAGGCAGGCCCAGTTTGTGTTTTCTTTTACTGGACCTTAAGTTTCTTTAGTTCTTTAGGTACTTGTTTTATACAGTTTTTCAGCCTTCTCGGCACCTACTCCAGTGTTGGTACATATGCAAGGTACTTCATAAATGTTTAGTGAATTTTGAATTTACTATTAAAAGAATTTTAATCAGTTAAACATGATTTTTTCTAATTTTGCCCTCATCAGTCCCATGCTCTTCACCTGAACCTTGCATTGCTTTTAACCATGTGGTATCTCCTCTAAGATTCCCAGGATCATCTTTGGATGGGAATCCACAGGTTACCCATTTCCTGGTATAGGGGCTATGTAATGGTTGCTTACATTTTATGGCCAGTGGTTTTCTTTATTCATTCTTGGTTTCATCTTGTAAAATAAGTCTAGTAAACTGTAAACACATCACCGTGTTGATTTCACAGGTAATTTGGAAACTGGATAGACCTCTTCAGTAAAGACAGGCAAAGAATTTACCAAGCTTCTTGTCTCTTTTATTTTTTTTTTAAAGATTTTATTTATTTGTTTGAGAGAGAATGAGAGATAGAGAGCATGAGAGGGAAGAGGGTCAGAGGGAGAAGCAGACTCCCTGCTGAGCAGGGAGCCCGATGTGGGACTCGATCCCGAGACTCCAGGATCATGACCTGAGCCAAAGGCAGTCGCTTAACCAACTGAGCCACCCAGGCGCCCAACTTCTTGTCTCTTTTAAAAGTATTCCTTTCTCTCTCTCTCTTTTTTGCAGAGGGATGCTAAATGTTTCCATGTCCCTTGCAAGGAAGAGAAACCCACTCAAAATAGGCCAAATAAAGTTTGGATTGTCCCAATAAAACAGGCAGTCTCACAGCTATTCATGGACAGGAAGCATAGTATAGCCAGGACAAAGTAGAACCAAGACAGGGAAGGTCAGAACTAAGGTATGGTGCCCTTCGGCGTGATTTCTTGGACCTTATGGTTTTTTATCTTGTTTAGGTTGTCAGATTTAGCAAGTAAAAATACAGGATGCCCAGTTAAATTTGAATTTGAAATAAATAACGAATAATATTTTAGTATAAATTTTTGGCCCCGTGCAATATTTGTGATCTATTTATATAAAAAGTTATTCATTGCCTATATGAAATTTAAATTTAACTGGGCATCCTGTATTTTATCTGTCAACACTAACCCTTTCTTTTTTCTGTGCATATGTTTCCTTCTTCCATCTGATAAAAAGCCACTTCTTTATGGATTTCTTTTACTATGACAGGGACTGGGGTGGCAATCTACATGACCTCTTATCCTAAAGCTCATCACTAATTGTATAGAGTCCTCATGTATCTTAGCTGAAAATTGACGAGGGAAATAAGATAGGTTGTTGACAAGCCAGTGAATTGACTGGCTTGGGTCCGATTTCCACCCTGACAGAACTATGGTGGGGTCGGTGTGGTGGTCAGTGAACACCTTCCCAGCTTTTTCACGCTTCCCCCGCTCCCATCCCTAAAGCCCAAAGGCCTTTTCACCATGGTTAATTGTCTGCAAGGCTTTTGCTCCTCTAAGAAGTTTGGGTGTCTTCATTAAACGTAATTTTTACTCTTCTGATCACTCTAGCAATTAAGATTAATTCAGATACCTTACTTTTTTGTGGTACTTTAGAGTTAACATAATTTTCTTAATAGATTTTACCAAATTTATATATCATTTTGCATTTTACTCAGTTTTTTGGTAAATGCTTTGTGTCTCTCAAGTGCCTCTTGAAGTGACCACTGTACGTTGTCACTTTGCTGAATCTGTACATTGATTTGTAGCTACACTATTGCCCTGATAATGAAAGCCTTTTAAATATATGAAATAGTTTTCCTAGCTTCCAAAAATGCTTTAAAACGCTTTCTGTGTTTATCATAAGCTCTTTCCTCCTTTCTTTTCCCCCAGAATATGCAATTTATTATACTTTTGCCTAAAAGTAATCCTTCTGTCTTGGAGTGTGACACACTTCCTCTCTCTCATGATTACTGGTTTGTGACAACTTCCTAGGCTTGCTAGAACAGTTTCTACAGTATGGGTAAATTGGCTGAGGGGCTTTCTCATGGTTTCCATGGGAAACTTCTGCCCATAAAATTCATGGGGTTTCGATAATATTAGGCTTGGGAGCCAGAAGGATTGGAGTTGAAATTTTAACTCAGTAAGTGGCTAACTTCTTGAAGCCTCAGTTTCCTTTTCCTCTCCTATAAAAAGGAGGCCTAGTGCCTACCTCACTGGGTTTTTGTGAAGATTAAATGGAATATTGCCCATAAAGCACTTAATACCTGTCTAGGAATAAGCAAGTGATACCTGGTGAGTGCTATTACCTGGGCATCTCAGAGGTCCTTCTATTGCCTTTTGAGCACTGATTATGATCATACTTGTAGGATATGTTGCAGAATGTGTAGTCATAAATCATATAGTATTGTGCCATTATCTTCTCTAGATGGCAGGAACATTTCTATAGATAGTATGTCTTTGTACTCCTTATGGGAAGGAGAGGAGAATAGTTTATAACTTATTCAGATTTAGGGGAAATGCAAGCTAAACTCATTTAAGATGAACAACACAGTTGGAACCATAGACCCAGTGACATCTTTTAAATCACTTAAAATAAGAGTATGAATAGAAATTTCCCTTTGGGGATGCCTGGGTGGCTCTGTCAGTTAAGCATCTGCCTTCGGCTCTGCTTCTCCCTCTCCCTCTGCCTGCCGCTCCCTGCTTATGCTCTCTCTCTCTCTCTGTCAAATAGATAAATTAAAAAATCTTTAAAAAAATTTCCCTTTGTCCCATACTATCCCCAATATATCAGACATGTTGAAGCTATAGCCTTCATCCCTTTAAACAGGTGCATTCATTCAGCCTTCAAATTCACTAGGCTGTAACTTGAGGCCATAAAATCTGGCCTCATCATTCCTAATCAGCCCAGTTTCCATCACTTCTCAACTTGAATCATAGGTGTGGATTTGGGTGCTGCAGCTAAAGAAGAGTATATCTAAAGGTGATGATTCCCAAATTCATATCACTGGTCCAGACTTCTCTCCCAAACTCTAGATTCTTATATCAAATTGCCTACTTCATTTCTCCACTTGGACATATAATAGACACCTAAGGCATGCTTTTCATGTTCTCCCTGCAAACCTGCTCCACCACAGACTTTTCTGTGTCAATTGATACCAATCCAATACTTTAGTTGCTAAGTCTAAAAATCTTGGAGCCATCATTTTCTTATCTCTCTCTCTCTCTGACACACACCATTCCAATCCATTAAGTCCTCTCTGTCCCACCTTAAAAATATATCTAGAATCCTTCCCCATTTGATCACTTCTGTTGCCACCACCATCATTTCTTCTCTAAGCGCACTGCATGAGCCTCCTAATAGGTCTCCCTGTCTTTTCCATTGTTTCCATGCAGTCTCTTCTTCACTGGGCAGCCACAATGAACATTTTATTATTTTTTTTTAAGATTTTATTTATTTATTTTAGAGAGAGAGCACATGAGTGAGTGAGCAGAGGAGTAAAGAGGTAGAGACGAGGGGAGAAGGAAAGAGAGAGAATCCCAAGCAAATTCCACACTGAGTGCAGAGCCCTATTCGGGGCTCAATCCCACAACCCTGAGATCATGACCTGATCTGAAACCAAGAGTCGGATGCTTAACCGCCTGAGCCACCCAGGAGCCCCTACAATGAACATTTTAAAATGTAAGTCAGATTTTGTCACATCTTGTCTCAAAATCTTGCAGTGGTTTCCCTCCTCACTCAGATTAAAAGCCAAAGTCTTTTCAGTGGTCCACAAAGCCCCATGTGATCTAGGCCCCTGGTAACTTGCCTGACCTTTTATCTACCATATTTTGCCTCTCTCACTCTGTTTCAATCCTGTTGGTCTCTGCTGTTCTTCAAACATGTCAGGCATGCTGCCATCCTAGGGCCTTTGCTCTAGCTGTTTCCTCTGCTTCAAATGCTTTTCTTTCAGATAACAGTATAGTTAACTCCCCACTTGCAAGTCTCCTTAAATGTCACCCCTTGGGGCACCTGCGTGGCTCAGTCAGGTTAAGCATCTGCCTTTGGCTCAGGTCATAATCCCAGGGTCCTGGGATCGAGCCCCATGTCAGGCTCCCTGCTCAGTAGGTAGCCTGCTTCTCCTCTCCCTCTGCTGCTCCCCCTGCTTGTTCTCTCTCTTTCTCTCTCCTCTCTCTCTCTCTCTCTGTCAAATAAATAAATAAATAAAATCTTGGGTGCCTGGGTGGCTCAGATGTTTAAGTGTCTGCCTTCAGCTCAGGTCATGATCCCAGGGTCCTGGGATCGAGTCCCGCATCAGGCTCCCCCTGCTCCTTGGGAGTCTGCTTCTCCCTCTGCCTCTCTCTCTCTGTCTCTGTCTCTCATGAATAAATAAATAAAATCTTTAAAAAAAATAAAAAATAAAATAAATAAATAAATAAAATCTTGGGTGCCTGGGTGGCTCAGATGTTTAAGTGTCTGCCTTCAGCTCAGGTCATGATCCCAGGGTCCTGGGATCGAGCCCCATGTCAGGCTCCCTGCTCAGTAGGTAGCCTGCTTCTCCTCTCCCTCTGCTGCTCCCCCTGCTTGTTCTCTCTCTTTCTCTCTCCTCTCTCTCTCTCTCTCTGTCAAATAAATAAATAAATAAAATCTTAAAAAAAAAAAAGTCACCCCTCAATGAGGCCTGGCCTGCCCTGACTCCCTTGTGTAAAATTGCAACCCAATCTCCATTACCTGCTCTTTCCCCACTTTTTAAATAACACTATCCTCTAACATATTATATAATATGCTAATTTGTTGTGTTGTTTATTGTCTCTCTCATGAAGTCAGGGATCTTTATCTTTTTCTTGATATGTTCCAGGCACCTTGAACATAGTAAACTGTTTTGTTTTTTTTTTAATTTTTTTAATTTATTTATTAGAGAGAGAGAAACAGCATGAGAGGGGAGAGGGTCAGAGGGAGAAGCAGGCTCCCCGCTGAGCGGGAGCCCGATGCGGGACTTGATCCCGGGACTCCAGGATCATGACCTGAGCTGAAGGCAGTCACCCAACCAACTGAGCCACCCAGGTGCCCGAACATAGTAAACTGTTAATAAATCTTGAATGAAAGAGAGCTGAGCCTCTTGTAGGTTTTCAACCTTGGGAGAATATTAAATGTCTGCATCCAATATATCATTTTTGTTGGGTAACTGAGGAGTTATTAGACTCTAGGAATTGACTCACATTATCTAAATTAAATTAAATTTAAATTACGTATAAATCACAATAACAATTATTTATTTCTGTGAAGAAATATGTTGCCAAGTCATCTAGACTGGTTGGTCAGGGTATTTGTTTCTGAAGAGATATCTACTAGGGAAATCAAGTCTCTGAAGGTTGCTTATGAATTTAATATCATATTGTTTAATTTTAAGGGATGGTATAATCGATCATAAATACTCTTCATTGCTTTAAAGATATACCTAACAAGTCCATACTTACAATAACAGGGCAATGTTTTGTGGAACTTTGGAGAAAAAACTTAGTCCCATCATCAACATCCTTCTAAATTTAAGGAGTGAATTATAGTTGATTTTATTTATTTATTATTAGAGAATGACATTTTCCTACTATGTTTATGAATTCTGAGGTGATATGTTGTTAAGAGTTTGTATCTTTCCCTTGTACTGAATATGGGAGGTAGTACCCCCAATGTGTTATTTCTTTTACTTGTAAATGGGTGTAGTTAGCGTATACAGGGTCTCTCATCTTAGAGTATTTCCTGGGCTACCCAGACCCAGAAAGTGGTTTGTTCATAGGAGAGAAAAGACAGTGTGTTTAGGCTCTGGTGCTTGAGGACATATCAGGCCTACTTTTTGCCTTGCAATTCTATAACCTGACTTTGGAATATACAGAGGAGAAATGCATCTAACAGACTCTCACTGGTGATAGAATAACAGGGCAATGAGCTACTGTAGAGTTAGGCAATATCTAAATCTTGTAATTTGTTTTCCAATTAAGAAATTACATTATTTTGCCATTATTCTCAGTCTAGATATATTCCATTCCTTATACCAAACCTTATTGTTTATTTTGCAGATCCATTGTTTATTGTGTCAAGTGAGAAAGACCACACGCAGGCAAATATCCAAGCTAACCTGATTCGAAACAGACTGGTAGGTCCAATTCAATCACTAAGGCAGCCTAATGAACTTGAACCATCCAGTTTTGCTAACCACACTAATCAGATTGACTAATCATGAGATGTCCAGTGGATTTTATATTCGGCAGAAATTACTCTGCCATGATTACTAGGGGATAAGACATCTTGATACTTGTGGCCCAATGTGAAGATTAATTAACTAATAGTGAATAAAGGACTCATTAAACCTAATTTATTTCAGTGGGAAAAGTTTTATATGCCTGTGTTAAAAGAATTCAAGTAGTACAAAAACATATACAGTATGAAATAAATTCTAACCCTCATCCCCCTTCTCATAATCATCCACTGTTACCAGTTTCTTGGGTATCTTTTAGAGATATTCTATGCATATACAATTACCCTTCTTTCTGTGCTACATACACTATTTTGTACCATTTAAAATTTACAATAACAAAATGCTTTAGAAAATCTGATGGTAAAATTTTTTCCTTTTCCTCCCCATCTCCCTGTCCTAATTTTAGAGAAAAGTTCCCAGGTTTAGAAGCATGTTCAGTAACTTGATCCATTATCCAAGATATTCTCTGTATCGGAGCAGGGCAGACCCTGTTCCACCATTCATCTGCCGGGAATGGGAAGGACAGGAGGGGAAACACAGAGAAGCCCTCGGGCAGTTTGCCATGTAAGTGTCATGTAGCTTTGGCTGCTACTCATGTTTTTAAATTTTATTTATTTTTGAGAGAGAATGACAGAGAGAGAGAGAGAGAGCACAAGATGGGGGGAGGGTCAGAGGGAGAAGCAGACTCCCCGCTGAGCAGGGAGCCCAATGCGGGACTTGATCCCGGGACTCCAGGATCATGACCTGAGCTGAAGGCAGTCGCCTAACCACCTGAGCCACCCAGGCACCCCTGCTACTCATGTTTTTAATGAATGCATTTTTCTTCTTAAGATTTTTTTATTCTGCATTTTTTAAAAGTATTATTGGGATGTTATACCTAGGTCAATTGACCCCAAATTCTCTCTCTTAAACCCCCTAGCCAAAACAAGCCTGATTCAGGGGCAGTGGTTATGGGTTTATATAGGTTAGTAGATATTCTCAGAAGCTTGGAGTGAATATATATATATATAACATATATATATTATTAAATGACAATTTGCCACCAAAGGTAGAGGTAGAGGTGACTGAATTTGTTTCTTTGATCCATCTTAGAAATTGCAACTATATCCTTCTGCTAATATCTAAATATATATATATAGATTTGGAGATTTGCAGCCAAAGCATCTTCAGAGACAAGTCTCTTGAATTCTTCATTCTTTTAATTATTTACAAGTCATGCCTAGTAAATTAAAAGAAAAAAGCTACCTTTCAGCCTGGACATAAAAAGTTGTCTCTCTTTTTTTTTTTAAAGATTCCAGTCATTTATTTGAGAGAGAGAATGAGAGATAGAGAGCATGAGAGGGAGGAGGGTCAGAGGGAGAAGCAGACTCCCTGCCGAGCAGGGAGCCCGACGCGGGGCTCGATCCCGGGACTCCAGGATCATGACCTGAGCCGAAGGCAGTCGCTCAACCAACTGAGCCACCCAGGCGCCCAAAAAGTTGTCTCTTAAAACTCTATTATTCCTGGGTGCCTGGGTGGCTCAGTCGTTGGGCGTCTGCCTTCGGCTCAGGTCATGATCCCAGGGTCCTGGAATCGAGTCTCACATCGGGCTCCCTGCTCGGCAGGAAGCCTGCTTCTCTCTCTCCCACTCCCCCTGCTTGTGTTCCTGCTCTCGCTCTCTCTCTCTGTCAAATAAATAAATAAAATCTTAAAAAAAAAAACTCGATTATTCCTATGTACTATTAATTGAAAGTGTGCATTTTTGTATGTGAGATTTCATAAATATACTCTTTTCTTACTCTTACTTCCCCTTGTTAGCTCCCAGTTTCCTGCTCAGGGAAAGTAATTATTATCTAGTCTGAGATGTAGGTCGGTCAGATGCATGTTATAGAAGACTTTGCTCTCAGTCTCAGATACCCTGTGCATCTCCCACTTTATAGACATAAAAATATGAAATAGAAATTATATTTGGAAATAACATGTTAGAGTTTAATAATGTTTTCCTGCTTCATTTTAGAACTGATAAGTCTTTTCAGATGGCTAAAGAGGCTTATGAAGATCCTGAAATTACTGGAAGGAATCGCTATAAATATTTTGATAGGTAAGAAGTAATTACTAATGAAAATGAGCCCTGATATTATTAGAAAATGTCTTTATGATAATGATAGCAGCTATCAGTTTTGAGTGCATGCAGTGTGTCAGGTACCAGTTTAAGTGCTTTATATATATAATCAATTCTCTTTTTAGATTGTATTTTTCAATAATCTCTACACCCAACATGGGGCTCCAGCTCACAACCCTGAGATCAAGAGTTGCATGCTCTACCAAGTGAGCCAGCGAGGTGCCCCCATATAATCAATTTTTACAACAGAAATGTAGGATAAGATATATTATCCCTGTTTATCAGTAAGGAAGCTGAGACGAAGAGAGGAAAAATAAATTGCTTAAAGTCTCTTAAGTTAGCAAGTGGCAGATCTGGGATTCCAGAACTTCAGAGGTACCAGCTATAAATAAGAATGTATATTTGAGAACAAAATGAAGTCATCAAATCAAGTGAGATACAGCAGAGACATCATGACAGTATAGTACATGGGAAGTTGTTATAAGTGGCCAATAGGTGACATTCACTGTGTTTTTGTGAATGTTGCCCAAACCAACATGGTCGAAAGTTTCACTTTGTTTCATTTGTGATCAATACTCATGTGATAATCATACAGTCAGATTAAAATAAAATGAGGATCTCCCTATAGGTCTTATGTGGTTAGAAAAATAGTCTTGATGCCATATGTACATAAGCTTCCTTGAGAAAGTAAATTTGTAATCCACGTTGTTATTTGTGAGCAACCTCTTCAGAGAAGTTTTATAATGCTGACTTTTTAGAGAAATGTTAAATTTTCAACACAGTATACCCAATTCCTAGACTTTCTGGGGGTAGTTTTTAAAACTAAATTACTGAGAATTTCAGAATGTTTCAGGGAACTAGAGAAGTTGCTGGGAGCTCATGACCAGCTGAAGCCCAGGTATAAGGCATTACTTCTGAAAGTGTGATTTGTTTACCATCTGCAGGGAAAACATTGGAATGTTTATTACAAATGCAGATTCATTAGCTCTGTCTTAAGTCTACTGGATTTCCTGGGCTAGACTTGGTAATTTGCATTTTAAAACAAAAATCTCCCCACTCTCCGGTGATTTTGTGTTTGTCCAGGTTTGAGGATTACCAATACAGGATATTCAGGTTCACTGATTTTAAGGGACTAATATGAGGGTTGAAATAAAGCCCAGAGAGCACACAGTGTAAAAGCCCCACACGTTTGTGTTCTTCTTTCTCCACCAGGCCTTTCCTTCCATTTCATCAACAGATGCCATTCAGTGTTGTTTTTGCAGCAACCAAGTAAGTAACCATTATTTTACAACTTTTTTTCCTAGCTTTTTATTTATTGTTTGTTCCCATATTTGTTTCCAGAAGATAGTTCTGTAAATCAACATTTTTCAAATTCCAGATCACAAATCATTAGAAAGTCATGACATATTTTAGTGGGTCATGAACAGCATTTTAGAAAATGAAATAGAAAATAACCAGAAGCATCAGATACATTGAGGGTAAATTGCCTTTTTGCTAATAACTTCTGTTTTGGATAGATATATACATTTTTTCATATGTAATGATTATGATGTAAAATGTATTTCTTATTACATGTTATGGTAAAAATATAAGTTAAAAAATGCTTTAAATATCCTCTTTTGCTTCCCTGAAACACATTTATTTGGCAACAGCTCTTCAACATTTTATCAAGAAAACTAATCAGTTATGAAATAGTTTTTGAGTACTGGAAGTTCATAATTTAATAATCATAATCTACACAAGGTAATTTAACATACAAAGATCAATGAAACGTGGTTTCTGTCCCACAGAGGAGTGGACCAAGGTGAGAGAGAGGTAAAGGCCAAGGGCTGAATCTGGGATGAAGGTGCAGTTCTCCAGTCTTGTTTTAGGGCTATACTATTTCCTGTGTCAGTATAACTTAATTTGTATATAAGAGAAAAAAATGAAATGATCAGGAAAAGAAACCTTTTTTACGGTATCAGATTTCTGAACAGAAATTTAGATAGGGCTTGGCTTTCAAACAAGCCTTTAAAGGATACCCTAATGATACAGCATTTTATGAATAGAATATATGTTATCAAATGTCTGTAATCCTCAAGATAAGTGCCAGTTGTGATCCTGATTCTCTGATTTTTTAATTTTTTTTAAAGATTATTTATTTATTAGAGAGTGCATAAGCAGGACGGGGAGGGGGGCACATGCAGACTCCCCACTGAGCAGAGAGCCTGACATGCGGCTTGATCCCAAGATCATGACCTGGGCCAAAGGCAGACACTTAACTGACTGAGCCACCCAGGCACCCCTCTCCTCTGATTTTTTAAGACTATGCGTGGATACCATTGGCTCTTATATAGATGGAGAATAGATTTCTTTCCCTCCCTCTAGAGAGATCAACTTTGTGTGGTGTCAGTTTACTTGGGGACAGCTGCAGACTTGTTTTCAGTGAAATGCTCTGTATGAGAAAAGGAGAACATATGAGATTGGTAGATCCCTATAGATACCTTTGATAATTCTTTAAAAGCAGGCTTAGTGGATCACCTACAATGGAGGTAATAATTACATCAGGTCTAAAAGTTGTTTAATTAATTGTGGGGAATTCTGAGGTCTACAGCAATGAACACTGAGCCTCTTCTTTTCTAAATAACTATGATGTGCGAGATTCCCTATAAGAATTAAACCATAATGGTTGACATCTTAGATACTCTCTATCTTAGAAGTTTTTAAAGAATTAATCAGTATCCCTGAATGAAGTCAACTCTGGGATTCTGGCAGGGTTCAATTTCTGAGCAAGGAGGATAATCCACCTTATGTTAGCAGGGATAGAATTGTCTGGGGGACCAGCTGGCCTTCTCCAGCCATACCCTTTTCATGGTTAACTGTTGGGAGTCTTTACTTTGGACTCATGTAAGCATCTTGGGGAAAAGGATAAAAAGTTAACATTTTTAAAAAGTTCAGTGGCGGATTTTAGTTCCACATGTAAGGAGCTTGGCAGTTGCCATCTGTCCTAACAATAAGTAAAAAGCTGAACAAACTGAAAAAGCAACAACTTTTCTTGGATCTGTAAGAAAGGGGAGGATTCAGAACAAACTGCTCCCCTAAGATTAGAGAGGCATGCTTATAAGGAGGCATGGTTTCCCAGAATCTTAGAGATTCATGAGTGGTAACCACTCCAGAAACCAAGTCCAGGTAGGAAAATCTGAACAATAATTGATGAATTGCTGGAGGCTCTGAGAATTAAATTCTAGGGGAACCTAGTCATTGGGGCTCCGACAATTTTGTGAGATTTACCTCCAGGACCTCAAGTAGGTTCTCACAGGGCATTTGGGGAAAAATCCCTTCATGCTCTTGGTAGGGGGAGTGGAAAGGAAACCATTTTGAAATATGCCAGAGCACTCTGTTCTTAACAAGGTCAGCTGTTAGGAGAAACTAGTTAACCAGAGCCTAACCTGCTGGGTATTATTAGAGCCTAACTGACCTGGGGGAAGGAAAATATGCAACTCTAGCCTCCTCTAGCCATTTTGCCCCACCTAGGAGGGGGGTGGGGAGAAAAAACTGAGAAACACTTAAGAAATTCACAGTCCATATGCATAGGCTCACCAAAAGACTGAGACATAATCATAGGATAATAGAACACTTATCCCCCCCCCCCACCTCACCACCACATTACTAAAGGCCTATTTACAGTAGTTTTTCTTACCCAGTACATTATGCGTAGCAGTCAAGAAACAAAAGGCATACTGAAAGGCAAAAAACACAATTTGAAGAGACAGCATAAGCATTAGAACCAGACCATGGCAGTTATGTTGGAATTATCAGATCAGGAATTTAAAACAACTATGATTAACATGCTAAGGGGCTCTAATGGATAAAGTGGATTGCATGCAAGATCAGACAATGTATGCAGAGAAAAGGAATCTTGAAGAACTAAAAAAAAATGCTAGAAATAAAAAATGCTCTAACAAATGAAGAATACCCTTGATGGGCTCATTAGTAGACTGGACATAGCTTAGGAAAGAATTTTGGAGCTAGAAGATATAACCATAGAAAACTGGAAAGCAAAGAGAATAAAGACACAAAGACTGAAGAAAAGGAACAGAATATTCAAGAACTGTGGGCAACTACAAAGATATAATAAATGTGTAATGGAAATACCAGAAGAAGAAAGAGAGAAAGGAACAGAAGACATATTTGAAACAATGAGGATTTCCCCAAATTAATGTCAGACACCAAACTACAGAGTTAGGAAGCTCAGAGAACACCAAGCAGGATAAATGCCAAAAGAAGTACACTGAGACATATCATATTCAGACTAAAAATCAAGATAAGAAATTTTGACAGAATCTAGAGGACAAAAATGCCTTACTTATAGAGGAACAAAGATGAGAATTACTTCTGACTTCTCAGAAATCATGTGAGCAAGAAGAGAAGTGAAAATTCAAGGTGTTGAGAGAAAAAAAAAATCAACCTAGAATTCTGTATCCTATGATACAGATACCTTCAAAAGTGAAGGAGAAATAAAAACTTTCTCAAAAGTTGAGGAAATCTGTTGCTATTAGACCTGCCTTAAAAGAAATGTTAAAAGAGTTCTTTAGAGAGAAGGAAAATAATAAAAGTCAGAAACTTGGATCTACATAAAGAAAAGATGGAATAAATGAAGATAAAATGAAAAGTTCTGCTTTTTAATCCGACAGTTGACAGTTTGTTCAAAATAATAGCAACAATGTATTTGGAAACATATATGCAGTTGATACACAGTTGACTCGAAAATATGGGGGTTAGGGACACTGACCCTCGCATATTAGAAAATCCATGCATAACTGTGACTCCCCCAAAACTTAACTACTCATAGCCTACTGTTGACTGGAAGCCTTACCAATAATATAAATAGTTGATTAACACATATTTTGTATATTTATTATGTACTATATTTTTTACAGTAAAGTAAGCTAGAGAAAAAAATGTTAAAATCACAAGAGAAAATACATTTATAGTACTGTACTATATTTATGAAAAAAAATCCACGTGTAGGTGGATCTATGCAGTTAAAACCTGTGTTGTTCAAAGGTCAAGTGTGTGTGTGTGTGTGTATGCTTATGTATGCTTATATTTAAGTAAAATGAATGACAGCAATGATAAAGAGATGGAAGGGAAGAATTAGGATTATTTTATTAATTATATGAGGTTTGTATGTTGTCAACTATATGTTGTCAACAAGAAATCCACTTTATTTTTTTATTAAGTTTTTAAATTTTAATTCCAGTATAGTTAACATACAGTGTTATATTAGTTTCAGGTGTACAATATAGTGATTCAACCAGTTCTATACATTACTCAGTGCTCAGCATGATAAATGTACTCTTTAATCCCCATGATCTATTTCACCCATCCCCCCCAGCTACCTCCCCTCTAATAACTATCAGTTTGCTCTCTATAGTTAAGAGTCTATTTTTTCTCTCTCTTTTTAAAGAAACCCACTTTAATTATAAAGACACATATAGATTTTCTTTTAAGATTTTATTTTTAAGTAATGTCTACACCCAGTGTGGGGCTTGAACTCAAAACCCCGAGATCAAGAGTCACAAGCCCCACCAACTGAGCCAGCCAGGCACCCCATAATGTGTCCTTTTTTTTTTTTCTTTAATGTACACTGTATGCCCAATGTGAGGCTTGAACTCACAACCCCAAGATCTAAGAGTTGCGTGCTCTATTGACTGAGCCAGTCAGGTGCCCTGAGACACCTATAGATTAAAAGTAAATGGGTAGAGAAAAATACATTATGCCAGCACTAATTAAAAGAAAGCTGCAGGAGTTATACTAATTTCAAACGGAGCAGACTTCAAAGCAAGGAAGATTATCAGGGATAAAGAGAGGCATTACACAATGATAAAAGGCTCAGTTCTCCAAAAAGACTTACATTATTTCACGTCTATGCACCTAACAACAGAATATCAAACTACATAAGGCAAAAACTAATAGAATTACAAAGAGAAATGGATGAATCCATTATCATAGTTGGAGACTTTAATACCCTTCCCTTAGAAATGGACACATCTAGCAGGCAGCAAATCAATAAGGCTCTAGTTGAACTCAACAACACCATCAATCAACTGGATATAATTGATATCTACAGACTACTTCATCCAACAACTGCAGAATACATATTCTTCTCAAGTTCACATGGAAGATTCACCATGGTAGAGTACATTCTGGGCCATAAAACACAATTTAACAAATGTGAAAGAATAGAAATCATACAATGTCTGCTCTCAGACCACAATGGAACTAAA